TGTAGTGGACATACAGTATATCCAAGAAGAGCTTCTTGGAATCCAAGAAGTGCTTCTGAGAAGTGCTTCTTTGACCTTCAAAGCAGTGCTTCTTGCTTTTTTGCATGCAAAAAGCTGGAAGCTAGTTTTCAAAGCTGCTAGAGCATCAAGAACCTTCAAAGAAGCTAGGTTTTTGATCTGCTAGGCAAGAACCCTTGTTTCTCAAACCTAACTTCCAACATGTTCAGAAGCCACAAAACTCAGCTACCAGCCACTTTCTAAAGCTTACAGGATCTTCAGGGAGACAGAGACGCCACCCACCCAGCCAGCCAGCCAGGCAGGCAGGCAGGCAGACACCCTGACCGAGCGAGACAGACTATTGACATCGTGCGTGTGTTCTTCCGTGTGTCCTGCCCGAACAAGACAGGCAGACAGACCGAGACAAACAGACGCACACACTCCCAAACAGACGCACACACTGCGTGCGGAACGCGAAGCGGTGTGAATACTCATTGGTGAGAGGGACCCATCACCCTTGAGTGTGGTTCGTTTAAGGGAGGCCGCTTCTTCAGGGAAAGAAACCACAACACGATCAACAATGACAGCACAGTGCAAAAGATCTGAAAAGACCAGCAATATTGTTCACGTAAAAACTCCCTTGGACGAAGTCGGCAAAGACAAGAGTCCTCCACGTAGAGCACATATGGCGCTGCTGCTGGACTTCGGCCGCTAGGGCTTGGCGCAGCAGCTGGCTGCCGCCGTACGCGGAGCTGATTGTGCTCATGGCGGGTGCGGCTTGAGGCTGAAGAGGCTCCTCGCTGCTGGACTTCGCGCGCTGCCTGCCGCCGTAAGCGCTTGTGATTGTGGACATGGCCACAAATGGAGCCAGGCCCTGCACCCATGCTGACGCCAAAAGCCAAAGCGCCGAACTTGTGGCTGTGGTGCCGTTCCGATCGGGTGCGCGTGGGACCCGTGTCATCTCATATGAAGCAGGCGAGGAAGTCGGACTCAAGGACATGCATGGTTCAAGCTAGCTCGGATGGGCTGAAACCTCACAAGTGGAGCTAAACGCCTGGGTGCTTGGTAACTCAAAAGAACACTCGCTTGGGCTTTTGGTTCTTGATCTCTTTGATCAGCTGCCTGCACAGCAAACCCCCATATCATCTTGACTGTATTTTGGCTCAAGTTCTTGCAGGGCATGAGTAACCAGAAAAGGCGGAGAGTCCAACATAATGAATTTGATCCGGCCAAGAGAATCTCCTATACTTATACTTTGCTTGCGTCTGACACTCTTGTGGGTCAATGGGACACTCTTGTCGGACATTCTTGTGGGACACTCTTATAGGACAGTGGGTCACTCTTGTCGGACATTCTGGTTGGACACTCTTGTGAGACACTCTTGCAGGACACTCTTGTGGGGCACTCTTGTGGGACACTCTTGTGGGACACTCTTGTAGGTCACTCTTGTAGGACACTCTTGTGGGACAGTCTTGTGGGACACTCTTGTGGGACACTCAGGTGTGACACTCTTGTAGGAAACTCTTATAGGACACTCTTGTGGGAC